AACACTTACAAGTCTGGGTGGAAGATGAGTGGAACTTAGGGGAGGAGCAGTGGTCTGAGTCTGACTCTGCGGTAGGTTAGAGATGAGGCTGGACAAATATACTAGGGCCAAGTTCAAGTTTGGGCAAGAAGATTTTGAGAACTTTTCTATGGTTCCATAGACTTGGTCTAGGGGTCACCTGCTCTGCTGACCCAACCTGCCTCTTTCCTCCCAGATAGTCCCCACCTGAGCTCAGGGTACCAGTTGCTTAAGTCAGAAGCCTGGGAGTCACCCTTGACTCCTCCCTCGTCCTCACTTCCATCCAGTTCATTATCAGGGCCTGCGCAGTCTACCTTTTAAATACTCCCCAGGTTCATTCGCTGCTATCCGTCCCCCATGGCCGCTCCCCTCGTCCACACGGCCCTCCTCTCGCTCCTGAATCCACGGCTGGCAGTGACTTGGTGTGGAGGCCTCAACATCTCCAAACTTTCACACAAGAGAAAGCCTTCTAAAACAAATCTGTCCACATCTACTCTCCTACTGAAAACCCTTTTCATTGACCCATTCAACAAACATCAAGCGAGCGTTTGTTACATGTTAAGTACTGAGGACACGACCATGAGAAAAACAGAGAATTTAAAGTCTGTTAGGAGGGCAGACGTCAATCAAATGACTCCCACACCAAAATAATACATAATTACAAACTGGAATATGTGCCCTAGGAGGGCCTGACCTAGTAAGGGAGGTGCTAGGATGCTCCCCAAGGTACTTCATCTCAAGTGAATAGCAACCAGAGCAGAGTCAAGGATAGGGTAAGAGCTTATGCAAAAAAGCTTCTCTGAGTCTCAGTTTCCTCATCTATACCATGGGGCTATTTATAGTTGTGAGGATTAAGTGAGTGAATATATAGAAAGTCCTTAGAACAGGTCTTAGGACATGATAAATTTTCCGTAAGTGTTAGCTATGGTAACAATAATTATTATTTAAATTTGCTTTAAGTAGAGAGCCAATGACGGTTTATCAGCAAAGGAGTTAAATCATAAAGAAGTATTTTTTAACGGTCATTCTTGCTGCAGTGAGGAGCATGGTTTGGAACAAGGAAAGAGCAGATTGGGGGGGGTTAATGAGGGCGATTTTGCAGGGGCCCACTGAGAGCTGTGGGGCATTTAAACCAAGGAGGCAGAGAGCATTTGGAGACATTTTGTGATTCGGGTGGGCGAAACCACTGGCCTTGGTGTTTCGTGGTAGGAGGCTGCGGGAGGTGGCAAGGGGCTCCCAACATCTCGGCCCTAGCAACAGGGTGGGTGGTGATGTTCTTCACCAGATTGGGAAAGCTTGGAGGAGGACCAGGACTGGGGGAGGTGCTGAGGCCAGTTATGGATGTGTTCAGGCACAGGCACTGTGGGGCGTCCTAGATACGGGATGCAGAAGCAGCTGATTGGGGTCTGGAGGCCAGGGAAGAAATAGTGGCTGCAGACACAAAATTGAGATTGTTGGCAAATACTTGAAAATTCAACCTCAATCATCCCGTCTGTAAAATGGTAGGAGGAAGGAGATAGCTAGGTGATTTTTTTTTTCTTTAAAGGTTTTATTTATTTTTGAGAGAGAGCGAGCGCACGCAGGGGAAAGGCAGAGAGAGAGGGAGACAGAGGATCCGAAGCAGGCTCTGTGCTGGCAGCAGGGAACCCAGACTGGGGCTTGAACTCATGACCTGTGAGATCATGACCTGAGCTGAAGTTGGACGCTTAACTGACTGAGCCACCCGGGCGCCCCAATAGCTAGATGATTTTTAAGGTTTCTCCAACATGTGTAAGATTCCAGTTGTTGAGGCTGGTAGGACCACAGAGACAAGGAGGAAAAAATCCACGTGGCCTATAAGATTTGGCAGAGGCTCTTTGGAGGCTCTTTGCTATTCTTTCATCACACTATCTTTTACTGAGCAGCTACTATGAGCCAAAGGCTCTCCTGGAGTTGGAAGAGTAAGACCTTGCCCTTGCCCTCAGGGAATTCAGTTTGGTGCTGGGACAAAGCAAAGGGCAATTACAAAAATGTAACCCAAGTACCCGAAGGCAAGCTTGGGAGACCAAGAAGGCTTCCTAGAGGAACTGACATCCAAGACAACACCTGAAATTCAGGCAGAAGAAAGCCCTGTGGGGAATCTGGGCTGGGGAAGATTATGTGGTTATTTTAGAGATTTTCATCCCTCCCGATTTTTTCATCTGGACTCTGCCCTGAGAGTCTATTTCAGGTACCAGGGCCCAGATACTAGTAATTGCATTTCATAGGCTGCGTTAAATTGGTCTTCTAGATCCTTCTCCTCAAGCTCCTTGTGGCCTCAGCTCCACATGCTAGCATTTGCTAGGGCTTGGATGAAGGCACAGCAAGAGAGGCGCCCAGAGCGCAAACTTAGGGAGGCACTCACTCTCAAGGGTGTGCAACGTGTCCTTGGCCCTGCTCCCCGTCCACACCCCCACTCCAGACTCTCCGGTGCTCATATCTTGCTGTCCACACACAGGGCTCTGTTTACAAAGACCCTCCCCCACCCCCATTGGCCTGGTGAAAGCTCACTCCTGCTCCAAGGCTCAGCTCTATCTGAAAGTCTACTGCTCTCACCACCCATCCCTGCCTCCACCCTAGGCCAAGGTGGTCCTCTGTGCCCTAACAGCATGGTAACGGCTGCATAGTGCAAACCAGACTCTGGCATCAGAGCCCTGCTGTGCTATTTATCATCTGTGAACCACTCTCTGAGCTGGTTTCCACATGTGGAAAATGTGGTGCTGACTTCACAGGGGAGTTGTAAAGATTAAATGGGAACATGTACGTAAAGTGATCTGCAGTGATTGGTACAGACTCCTCAGTAAGCGGTAGGTATTAATACTTTGTTTATACTTCTTCTGAAGCACTCATGTATTCTAATTATTCTCCTGTCTTTATCTTCACTATACCATAAGTTCCTTGGGGCAGGGAGGAGGAGGAGGAGAGGAAGGAGGAGGAAGATCTTTACAAATGACATTGAACAAGCCCTAAGACATGTCTGCTGCATAAATCAAAGAAATGACAAATTCTATGGAAAAAGTTCTGGGCAGGAAATCTGGAGCCTTGGGCTCTAGTCACATGGTCCCAGTGATGGCACAGTGCCTGCCCAACTTACACTCACTTGGAAGAAAAGCTGCCCAAACCGCAAACCCTTTTGAGCCCGTTGCTTTAGACCACTTGGCCCCTTCAGCTTCTAGACTTGAACAAATGGGGCCAGCACCAGAGCCAAGGGTTACCATTTCAAATATTAGCCGGTGACCTTTAACTAATGGCCTACCACAACAATCTGAGACAGGCCAATTAGAGGCTCTCTTGGACCAAGGAACAGAAAGAAACTGTCAGGTAGTGGAGGGAGTTGGAGTAGGCAGGTCAGAGACAAGTGAGCCTCGGCCAGTAAAGCCATGTGCAAGCCAAGATAAGAGGGAGCAGAGACCAAGAAGCAGCAGAAGCTGGTTAGTAGGAAGAGGAGAAAGGAGCAGCCCTGTGCAGAGATGGGGAGGGTGTCAGGGGAAGGAGAATGAATAGAACAGTGAGTCCTAGGGCTGCCTCATTCCTGCTGGCATTTCAATTCCAGTCCTCACAAGAAAAAATTCTTTATATTTCAGCTACATTGGGTAGATTTCTGTACCTTGCAGCCCAATGAGGCTGACTCTACTTGTTATGTTGGTCAGTCTCTGCCTTTCTCTCTGCACCTCAGTATGACTAGACCATCTCCATGGTCTTCTCCAGATCAATGTTTGCTTTGAACACCATGTAGAGAGAATGAATTTTAGGTTGTTGGCCACTGAGTTACAGCATTAGTTACAGAGTGCCATGACATCCTGGCTCCCGAAATAGCTTGGTGACTGGTTAAAGAGCCTGTAGGAGGATCCAACACGTACCTGACTTTGAACCTGAGCCCTGCTGATAGTCTGCCTCCCCCTGTCCATTGCATCCTTTGTTGGATCACAAAGGAACTGAGAAACCAGGGCTGGTGTTTCTCCAGTGTCTTTGGCTGCTGAATGCCCTACCTACTGCCTTAACACTTTCCTGGACCCACTTCAGCATTTCAGAGGAGTCCAGTGCCAGGTCTGCTCCAAAGAAAGTGCCACTCCAGGAAGATTGTGAACAAAGAAAGTTTCCTTCTTTGGTGCTAAGATTTCCTGCCTTCCAGCTGTTTGGCTCTCAGCCTGTGCCCTGCCGTCAGCTTTCTAAACTAACAACTATGTTGATAATAATACTTCCTTGCTTTTGTGTGGTACTTTGTACTTTTCAGAGCATTTTCATGCTTGTTGTCTTATTTGATACTCACAGAAACCCAGGGAGAATGGGCAAGAAGTGAGGTGTAGAGGATAATACCTATCATTTCTCCCATCACATCCACCCCCCCTCCTTGAAACAATTTATTTTAAAAGAACTTAAAAAAAAATTATCCCTCTGTTCTTTTTAAAATACATGAAAATAATGAGACTGAGCTTGATTAAGTGACTTGCCCAAGATCACAGGGCAGGTAGACAGCTGAGTTGGAACTAGAAAGTTTCCAGTCACGGATCACACTTAAGCAGGACACATCTTGCAAAACACTGCTGGCCATGGCAAGGGACCTCTAAGAGACATGGTGTGCTCGCACTACTGTCCCTCCCCCCCCCCCCCCGCTTTTTAAAAATGTTTTATTTACTTTTGAGAGAGAGAGCGTGAGCAGGTCCCTACCTGCAGAGGGGGGGGCAAGGGACAGAGGATCCAAAGCAGGCTCTGTGTTGACAGCAGCAAGACTGATGTGGGGCTCGAAATCACAAACCACAAAATCATGACCTGAGCTGAAGTCAGACGTTCAACCCATTGAGCCACCCAGGCACCCCCACCCTGCTGCCCTTTTGAGGCCTCTGGGGATTGTTCACCATCTTACCGCTCTCGTCCCTACAGAGACTTGGCTACCCTACAGTGGCATGGGTAGCACTAGGAGCCCACAGAAGGTTAGATCCAAGCATTTAGTAATGGTTCCTTACATGTTGGCAAAGATAAGTGTTTTTGGAAGAGTCCGTGTTCTTGCTTTGATTACAGAGCCCTTCACAGAAGGTAAGACAGGAAAGGAAAGGCTGAGTCCCTCCTTCAACCAGCACCTCTGAAAAAGAGGAAGCAGAAGTAATAGTTCTTGCCCATCCTCCTTTCCTAAACTCTACTCCGCAGCAAGGACACCCTGTCCTGGCCCCTCTGTTTTGGGCCCCTTCACGAACTGTTCTCATTGCTGCACTGTCACCTGGTCAGGATGAGCCCACCCCTCCCAGTCACCACACAGATTCAAGTTATCCTGGGAGACAGCAGTAAATTCTCACCTCACAGTTCTAATAGGGGTAGGCGAAGAGGCAAAAGAAGTGGGAAGCCTCTGTGCTTTCTCCGGGTCTGCCCTTGCTCCTTCCCCAGCGCCCCCTAGAGGGCATAGTGTGCTTCTCTTGTGGCATCACCCAGCCCCGCAACTCCAAACAGCACAACTGGGAAATGAGTCAAGGCAGTCAGCCTATCCAATGGCCCGGACAGTATGTCAGCTCAGGTGAAGACAAGAGAATAGAAAATGTGCTTGGAGGGGCGCCTGGGTGGCGCAGTCGGTTAAGCGTCCGACTTCAGCCAGGTCACGATCTCGCGGTCCGTGAGTTCGAGCCCCGCGTCGGGCTCTGGGCTGATGGCTCAGAGCCTGGAGCCTGTTTCCGATTCTGTGTCTCCCTCTCTCTCTGCCCCTCCCCCGTTCATGCTCTGTCTCTCTCTGTCCCAAAAATAAATTTAAAAAAGAAAAAAAAGAAAATGTGCTTGGAATTTTGAACGGAGGGAATTTATTCCAGAGGACAGCTTAGAAACCTGTTGGCTTGTAGGAGCAAAAGGGCAGGGTGGGGCAGACTAGAGAGTAATAGCTGCAGGAAGCCTCTACCAGGCTTGGAAGATCAAATGGAAGGGTGTTCCTGGCTCCTGAAGTGCACTTGTTGCTGACAGTGTGCGAGCTTAGTTTTTGAAATGCTGCTGCTGGCAGAGCTGCTCGAGGTCACTGGAGCCCACCGGTACCCACTGCTGCCCCCCCAGGACCACCAACACTGCTAGAGCCCGTGACAGTAACCCACCACTGCTGGAAATGCTGAATGTCTCCGAGCCCACAACCACCAGCTGCTGCCAGAGTCTCCAGTGGATGCAGAGAGGAAATGACTTTGCCTGTCCCGCACCGGTCCCATCTCCTGGCATACCGTTTCTCACCTGTTACTTCCCATTCGCAGAATCTGACAGGAAGCCAGTTGGCAAAGGGAGCCTGGGAAATGTAGTTTTCAGGGCCCGGCATTCTTCTGTACAAAGCAGAGCATTGAAAGGCTAGAGCAATAGGCAAATGACTAGCACAAATGCTACTGAAAGTTACACCTCATTTGGGCACCTTAAAGGCCATAGGTATTGGACGTTAGCTGATTACCTCATGACTCCATTTTCCCTTTTCTAGGATCCATGTGTTTCTAGGAAGCTGGCTCCCTGGGAGCAGAGCAGGGCTGAGTCAGTCAATCCCACTGGCCAGAATGATTGGTTCAGGGTGGTCATATGAATCAGCCAGTCCAATCAGAGGGAATTTCAGGATTTTTGCTGAGAAGGCTGGCACACAGGCTGTCTCTTCCTTGCTAGCAATGAATGAGGAAGCAGGAAGGCCTTGGGAGCTGTTGGCAGTCATCTTGGAATAATAATAGGAGCAGAAACCAGGAAGAAAGAGTGGCCTTGAAGACTGGGAGATTGATTTGGGGGCACATAACCCAGATGCTCTGGCCACTGTGTAGGAAGCTCTGGCAGAGGTGATCAGTCTTGTGCCCTTTATGGTGCCTATTAGCAACCCACAAAGCAAGACCAATTTATGAGCATCATGGAAAAATCTGGAAGAGAAAGAAAGTTCTAGGAATCAGCCACTTTTCCCATGGTCACATCTTGGACCAGTGGCGTTTAAACGTTTTTTATTGTACCTTCAATATATGTGTGACCAGTACACATGTAGCTGTATAAATAACTCAAATAAAGCTTCACAACAGTTTTCACTGTATTTACCCTGCTATGTGCAATTAATTCAAATTTTCAATTCTATTCCATTTTTAAATAAAGCTGCTCATAAATTTCTAAATGATTTCATGAACTAATGGTTAGGACCTGCAATTTGAAAAACATTACCCTATACCATGCCATCATCAATTGCTGTAAAACTTAACTCTTGATTTTAATCATCCTAACCTTTGCTGACTTTCCTGCTTTTGTACCCATATTCCCTGTCTTCCTTTGCTCTGAAGGACAGTTACAGTGTCCCATGTCTTATTGGAGGTGAACCTCTCTCCAACCTGACACAAGAACACCAAGAATTTACCTCTGTAGCTATTCTCTTTTGCATTGCCAATTTCTGCCTGTCTACTGGAATGTTGAGTTTATAAAATTGCTCTAGAGTCTCTCTCTCTCTTTTTTAATTTTTAAATTTTTGTAGTTTTGAGAGAGCGAGTGAGGGGGGCGGGGAGGCAGAGAGAGAGGAAGACAAAGAATTCCAAGCAGATTATGCATTGTAAGCACAGAGCCCGATGTAGGACTTGGTCACAAAATGTGAGATCACGACCTGAGGCAAAATCAAGAGTCAGACACTTAACCAACTGAGCCACCCAGGTGCCCCTAGAGTCTCTCTTCTTTAGAGTCTCTCTCTAAACTCTCTTGAGTCTCTCTTCTCTAGAGTCTCAAAAGTCCCCTTTGATCCCATTTCAATAGCCACTTCCTTAAGTCAACCCAGATATGGTTGAATGGGATAGGAAGAAGAAGGGTGGCCTAGAGGTGAACTCAGTAGAGGGATGAGGACTCTGTCAAGAAGGAAAGTAGTGGGCATGAAAAGGAGAAGAAGGCATCACAATTTATGTGAACAGACAGAAATCAGAAGTGAACTTTTTTTGGGTGTGGGAGAGAGAGAGAGGTTGAGTGGGGAAGGGGCAGAGGGAAAGGGAGAGAGAGAATCTTAAGCAGGCTTTATGCCCAGTGTGGAGCTCAACATGGGGCTCAGTCTCACAACCATGAGATCAAAGAGCTGAAATCAAGAGTTGGACGCTTAACTGACTGAGCCACCCAGGTGTCCTGAAATCACAAGTAAATTTTGACTCAAGAACTGCCTTCTTTAAACCCCACTTTTGGGGCGCCTGGGTGGCGCAGTCGGTTAAGCGTCCGACTTCAGCCAGGTCACGATCTCGCGGTCCGTGAGTTCGAGCCCCGCGTCGGGCTCTGGGCTGATGGCTCAGAGCCTGGAGCCTGTTTCCGATTCTGTGTCTCCCTCTCTCTCTGCCCCTCCCCCGTTCATGCTCTGTCTCTCTCTGTCCCAAAAATAAATAAATGTTGAAAAAAAAATTTAAAAAAACCCACAAAAACCCACTTTTGAGAATCCTGCTCCTTCCTTTGTTGGTGGAGCCTGGAATCTGGAGTGGTAAGCTCAAGTTCCATACTAGCTCTGCCATTTCTGAGCTGGCTAACTTTGAATAAACTACATCTCTTCTTTAAGTTTTCTCATCTGTAAGATTAGTCTAATAAAACCTACCTTATCAAGCTGGCTTAAGGATTAAATTAGATAAATATGTGTTAGCTCTTATGATTAAGGCCTTTTCCCATCCTTATACAAAACCTTACCTCCCCCCACCCACTAATAATAATTACCATAGTGACCACTTGTTAAGCAATTAATTCCTCTGTGCCAGGCAATATGCTAAGGACCTTTCCAACTGTTTCCAAGCCAACAAGGATTCCCTGGCCACCTTCTTACTGCAGAGTTTTTTTTCCCCTGATGATGTACTTGATATTTATAGAGTGTCTACCATGCATCAGGAAGTCAACTGACTTACTCACATTTCATTCATTCTATAGATGTTAGTTAAGCACCTACTATGGTGCCAGGAACTTACTAGGTGTTGGAGATACCAAGATGAACGAGGCCCTGAACCTCGAAGGACTCACAATCCAGTCACATAGTAAGTGTTATGTAGTGAGGGGATGTATAGGAGATGTTCATTACCTGTGGCTTCCTTGGTCTAGACAATCCCATCTTTGGCTCCAGACCTAATGACTGATAGTGTTTGATTCTGTGTTTCTGGCTTGACTTTGGAGCCCTACTTTTAGGACATGCCTTTCAGTTCTCAACTCCCCATGGGCCATCAGGATGAAGAGAAAATTTAGTGTTTCTTGTCTCTCCCTGCCTGGGATCCCCCTCCAGAGGAAAGAAATTTAGCAGATGTCCAAAAGACAGATAAATTGCTGGTTGGTTTTCACCCCAACACACTTTTAACACTTTCTGTCTTAATCTACTCAGTCTCCTAATTGCCAAATTCAATGGACTTTTTGTGCCTTTGCAGGTCTTTCTGGTATCACATATCATTTACTGTTCTTTGCATCTTTCACCTCTATAGCTCAGAGGGGTTAAGTAACCTGTTCAATTTACACCACTAAGAACTAGAGTTGGGACTCGAACCCAGAGTAGACTGACTCCAAAGCACATGCTTTAGCCAACATTCCCTACTGCCTTCCCAAGCAGACGAGTAGTCTAGGTCTGTGCTGTCCAATGTGTAGTCATTAAGTGCATATAATTATTTAAACTGAAAATAAAATAAAATAAAATAAAATAAAATAAAATAAAATAAAATAAAATAAAATAAAATAAAATAAAATAAAATAAAA